GTTCGGGTTTGATGGATATATGAGAAACTTCATACCCCAGTATCTTGATTTTGTCTGCGTTGATGATGCTTTTAGCGTCATTAAAGGTAAAGGAGTATTTACGAGCAACCTCATAGAAACGATCCAATTTTCTCCGATGCTCTTGCTCAGAGGAACCACATACTGTGATATTATCTAAATAGGCAAGGGTCGCTTCCAGTTTCTCGTTCCTAATGATTTGATCGATAACTCTTTGGAAAGAAGAAACACCATTGGTGATGCCGAAGGGAATCCGACAGAACTGATACAAATCGCCACACGCTTCGAGTGCCGTATACGTTTTATCTACGTCCCTTAAGAGTATCTGGTTGTACGCGCTATTGAAGTTCAGTGTACTGAAGGTCGTATACCGTGAAATTTCCTCTACCATTTCATCCATCTTGGGTAGGGGATAGGCATCCAGGAGAGTGAAGCAGTTAACACTTTGACTGTAGTCGACTACCATTCTACGTTTTTGACGTTCTTTGGTGGTAAAAAGCACTTGGGCACGCCATGGAGAATGCGAAGGTTCTATGATGCCATCTCTCACCAATTTTTGTACTTCCGTTTTGATGAACAGCTCGTCAGAGGGTGAATGCCTCTGAGACTTGGTTGCAACTGGAGCGCAATCAGGTGTAAGATTGTTGAATACCGGAGGTGGCTCGATATTCGCAGCTCCTACACTGCAGACCGAAAATGAATTTTTGGCTCCATTAAACAGGATTTCTATTTTTGAATGTAGTCAGAAGAAATCGTGTCCAAGGATGACATCTAAACAGAGGTTATCTAACAGCGAAAGCTTAATATTTGGATAACGATGGTCCTTATACAATAAATTAACAACGCACTGTCCGCGGGTGGCACTGGTTAGGATCATCGAAGCCATGGGTACAGCACTACGAGATTTTGTGACCTTCCACTTATGTTTTCGTATCGCTGAGTTCGATATGTAACTATCAGAACTGCCAGTGTCAATGAGAACCTGGACAGATATTCCGTTTACAGAGAGCCGGATAACTGCATTGGACAGACATAATGGAGCTGCAGCGAGAGTGATGGAGGATATCAGAGCTGGTAACACGATGAATTTGAGTTTGGCTTGGATCGACAAACCTTCTGATAATGTCCTTTTTTCCGCAAAACTTGCAGATTGCATCTTTAGCCGGACATTTGAAACGAGGATGTTTGGAATATCCGCAGAAGAAACAGCGAATGTTACTCATAGCGACTATGCTTTCTTCCAGTGAATTGGGTTGGCGGGGCGCCAAGTTCGATGTAGACTCGTTCTGTGGCTTGGGGTCAACGACTGGAGCTGTGCAAGTGGAATCGACTGGGTGAAAAACACTGGACTGTTGATATACCATCTTCAAGGTTCTGGCCTGCTCGTATGCTGTTTCTAGGTCGTGTCTGGTTTTCCAAGAGGCGTTGACGGATGCTACTGGACTGCATTCCACTGATAAAAGCATCTCGTATGGTGTTGTTTTGGTTTTGTTCGGCCTTTACGGCTACGAAGTTACAGTCTTTTGCAAGTGATCTCAGCTTCTGCATAAACTGATCAAGAATCTGACCTGCATCTTATTTTCTGCCAGAGAGTGCCGAGCAAAAACCTCGTTCTTCGGTTTCAAATAAAGCTTATTCAGGATTGTCATAGCGGATTGGAACGTTTCACTCTCGGCAATATACTCGTGAACGGTGGGAGAAACGCATCCAATGAGGTGTTCTGGCTTTTCGTCTTCTGATTCCGCCGCTCTGGCGATAAACAAGGGGAATGTGCGAAGCCAATGATTCAAGACTTTTGCTGAGGGGCAACTTGGATCCGTCGAAGCGTTTAGGTCGATAAGGCCGATCCATTGTTTAGACGAATAAATTGTTATATTCTGAATACAAGATGACAATAGTCGGTAGTTACTCGAGATAGAGAGAGAGAGAGAGAACACAGAGCCCGGAGATGTAAAGCTTTATTCGTCTCACAACTCTGGCATATAGGCTGAAACGTATGAAAGAGAAATGTAATGAATACGAATGAATATGCGATAGATAAAGAGTGCGATGCACGACATAGGGCACCCATGACGAACGNTGACGAACGGCCTACTTAGTTCATCATAAACCCTTAAACGACAGGAAGTATGTGAGTACAGTGACCTCAGTAAGTTGACGTACTTCTGAGGCTTTCCTTTTCGGAGAAGGGAACCCATTAGAGCATTGCGATCCACTGAGTCGAATGCTCCTTTCAGATCAGAAAACACTACGATCGTTGGTCGACGGTGGGTGTGATGCAGATCAAGGACCTGACTCAACGTGCAAATTTGATCCATACATCCACGGCCAGGCCGGACTCCGGCTTTCTGTTTACGGATGTTGGTTTCTGTTAAGGGCGTCAGATGTCGAAGTGTGAGCACTTTCGTGACGATTGGGATCAAACTTATCCCGCGGTGGTTTTCGTAATCGTGATCGTGATCCTTTCTTAAAAATGGGAACAATCAGTGGTTCACCTCAAGATGAAGGAATGTGCTCTTGCGTCCAAATGTTGTGCAGTAAGGTAGTAATAGAGCTTACAAGGTTATCGCCCCCATCTTGAAAATAGTGGGAGGGAGCTCATCCGGTTCAGCTGCCTTTCCTCGTTACACAGCTTGAATACAAGACTGAACTCCTACAAATGAAGCATCGTGGTTAGCACCAGTCCAGCTGAAGTATTCCACCCAGCTATCAAGTCCTTGATCCCTGTTGTGAATAGCTTGTAACTTTTCATCGCAGACCGTTTCCCTAAATGGAGTTCACCGACCTCCTGTATTGCGTATCAGTTGGAACAGCCGTTGACTATTTCCTGATGCAGCTGCTACTTCCATTTCACTAGCTATTGTTGCCAACCAGTTTTCACGGTTCTTCTTGAGGCTCTTATTGAGCTGTCACTGTGGATGCCACCTAACTGTGTTTTGATCTTGGCAGGTCAGGATTTGTCGTTTTTTCTCCATCAAAACTGCTGACTCAATGCCTCCGACGGGTTTGAGGCTCAAACCCACAAGCAACATTCGCAGCAGAATGCATTGCTCGCATAATTTGATCCCACTGTTCATCTACATTATCACGTTGAGGCGCGCTTAGCGCACTCCCTAGCTCTGACTCATACAGTGCACGAACTGGTGGAACAGATAGTCAATGGTGATCTATCCGAGTTTGCTAGTTTCATCGCCGACCAGTCAGTCGGAGAGTGAACTGTATCAAAACTAATGCGTGGTCAGAATCAAGGCAGATGGTCCAATGACCTGCAATTTTGCACTGAGCCACGCCAATGGTAGCTTACTACTGTGTGGTCTATTTGAGTTAGCGTACCAGTTGAACTGGGACGCCACGTTGCCGTCCGTCGAGAGCTGTGTTGGAGATTATTTCTTGACAGGAACAGGTGATGGCCTGCGCAGAACTGACGAACTGAAATGTGGGCTTCATGCTTGCAGAAGTTATTACAATATAATAGAATAGAATACAATACAAAGTCGGTCATCATTATCTGCTCGTTGGCAAGGCAGAGCACAACTACCGCCCAGACAAGCTTCTGATGCACTCAGTTTCCCAACTTTGGCATTAAAGTCACCTGCAAGCACAACTATGTTGGAGCTTCGACTCATCTGAATGACATCGGTGACTTCATCGTAGGAAGCGTCCTTTTGTGTATCAAAACTGCAATTGATCGGTGTATATGCCGGTATGATGAACAGTCACCTTATACTGTAGCTTCCCTTCCGGACGCTGATTGAACTCTGGAGACGTACTGCACATAAACGATTGTTGACGGGGATCCTATCTAATCAAGCTAAGACCTGGTATAAGGGTATGTGAACCCTAACTAGGAATCTTGGTCACATAGGTCCCGTTAGGACCCCTGGATGGGGAACTCGGGCTCATCGTAACCGATGGTTAGAGACTGAGTGATATGACTGAGTGTCGTAAACAGTGGCGTTCATGGATCTTCTTCGCAACATTGATCCACTAAAATTCTAAATTCTCTCTTTGATTATACTTTCAATCTTTCCCCTCTTTCCCTTTTGTTGATTACATAATATCTGCTCGCTTTCTTCTCAATCGATCGTTGAAAATGAGAATCGGGGTAGAAAGAGCGAGTTGTTTTATCACTCGTTTTCCTCATAATTCCATAGAGGTATGGTAAGAGGATTGATTATCCGCTGATGATTTTGTCCTTTCGAGGTTTTATTATTTTTTCTATTCTCTCCACACTCCCCTCGCAGTCGGAGGCCTAGACTGTTAGTCTTGCTTATCAGATGTACGTTCGCAGAAGCCCTTTGACTAGCGGCAAATTACTCGTTTCCCCTGTCATAGAGACCTCTCTCTTCGCAAAATAATTTCTATCGGTAATAAAGTGCAAATCGTGTGAGGAATAGACGAACTCAAAACGAAAGAAAAGCTCATGTATAGTGCCGAGTGCTCGTGAAAAATCGAACGAACTTGTTCGAAAATTACATTATCTACCCTCTTGTTTCCCGTTTTCCGTCTACGACATTCAGGGTTTCAAGTGTAGATTCTGGATCCAAATACTTTCCCCGTTTTCAACCCATATCGCCGTTTTTTTCATTAGGTTTACTCCTTGGAAAATGATAATTATATTGTTATTGACAGCTACATACTGAACATAGAAAGACGAATGATATGAGCGGTATCCGAGCCGAGATTGAGATGGTTATCTTACATACAAATGTATATAATACGATTAGTAGTGTATTGATGACTGGACAAAATTCCCCTGGAAACATGATCAGTTTCGCGGTTCTTGCCGCTCGCCAGAAATGCGTATCCGGTAATCTTTTAACTTTGTATTCATATACTTGTACCCAAGAAATGGGGTTTCGTCACAATAACCTCAGCTGCAACACCGGGTAAATTTTTTGGACAGCTATATATATATATGGCTTCGTTATCTCTCCATAGCCCCCAACTAACTTGCATTTCCCCCTAATTTTACAGCCTCTATGGCCTGTGAGGATAGGTCATCCGTTTGTCGACCGTTAGCTCCGCGTCCATCAGACTTTCGTTTTGGCAAGGAGATTGGCCAAGGTTCCTTCTCTACTGTCTATGTCGTACGAGAAGTCGCGACCAACGCGGAGTTCGCCATGAAAGTAGTGGACAAACAGCATGTGCGGCGGAATCGTGCTGTTGAATCAGTCATAATGGAAAAAGAAGTGTTGAAACGGACAAATCATATTTTTATTATTCGCTTATATTACACATTCCAAGATGAGTCTCGCCTGTTTTACGTGCTCGAGTACGCACGTGGTGGAGCGTTGCTTGACTATCTTACTCGGCTTACCTCGTTTGATATACCATGTGCTAGGTTTTACGCCGCGGAAATTTTCATTGCTTTGGAGTATTTGCATAAACAGTGTATCGTTCATCGCGATCTGAAGCCCGAAAATGTGTTATTGACTGAGAATATGCATATCAAACTGGCGGATTTCGGTTCAGCAATCATTCTAAACGATTCTAAAGTAAAAGCTCCTTCATTCACAGGTACTCCGGAGTATGTGAGCCCTGAAATGTTATCCCCTTGTTCCAGAATTGATGAAGATGACGATGAAGACAATGATGAAGCGAAACAAACAAAAACGGAGCCTAATCCCTATTCATATGAAGAAACGGCTTATTTGATGGATTATTGGGCTTTCGGTTGTGTTATCTATCAGTTCCTCTCAGGCCGGCCACCATTTCGACCCGAACGCAACGGGCACGCTTACGAAACGTTTGGGAAGATTCTCAATTTATCCTACTCCTTTGCGGACGGATTTGATCCAGTAGCAAAAGACCTAGTGAAACAACTTCTTGTCATCGATCCTTTAAAGCGCTTGGGGAGTCCAGCGAACGGAAATGGTCCGAGGGCCATACAGACACACGAGTTTTTCCAAGGTATTGACTGGGATACCCTACCGAATCAAAATCCACCTATTCTGCATCCGAATGTGGAGCCCATAGCTCCTGCCGGTTGGGATACAGCTCCTCAAGGTTTTAAGGAAATCGAAAAGTTTCTTACATCAAATGAGTTGGGTTTGAGTGCCTCGCAAGTGACCGATAATGAGCGACCCAAATTACTTGCATTGCAAGAACGTCAGAATCCTTTCCATCGGTTTGTCCGTAATCGATTAATTATTAAGCAAGGCATTCTGTTTAAACGACGCGGTTTGTTTGCTAGGAAACGGATGTTTCTTCTTACAGAAGGTCCACACTTGTTCTACGTCGATGTGGATTCCATGAATTTGAAGGGGGAAGTTCTCTGGTCCAGCTTTCTTACTCTGGAACAGAAAAGTGACAAACTTTTCTTCATAATCGTTCCGAATCGCACTTATTATTTGGAAGATCCGTCAGGCAATGCATCAGATTGGGTGGAACAAATCTCGGCTGTTCATAGCATTTATTTTTCAGACAAGGCTAATGAATCAAAAACTTCACCATCACAGGACTCATTAAGAACCTCAGAAGATATCATCACTTGATCTGCCCCTATCTCTCAAAATGTCTTTCTAATTCCTCTTCTTAATTCTTTCTGTCCCAACCACATTGACCCATATCGTTGCCTGTGCATCACAACCGTTCGCACTTGTAACTGTTCTCTAGTTATTCCTTTCAATATTCATCTCTATTCACTGTTCTCATAAACAGATTGACTAGGTTTCATTGCTCATGTACAGATGTATAGGAATATTTTATGCACTTTCACAATCATTCTGATTGTCATTACTGTGGACGTTGTCCCCCGTGCTCAACACCCACAAATACAAGTGTTGAGTGATAATGTGTTCTACGTTCAACTCACGAGCGTTTTCTCGTAATCCTGCTAGCTAGGTAGTCCGTATTTTTGTCTGTTTGTGTGTCAGTTCTGGAAACTTGCTCTATTTTATCGTTAGATTTCCTTATCATAACGAAACTACTTTTTGCTACTTGATGTAAGGTCCTTTTTTACTAAGAGACTACATTTTAATTGCAGTTGAGAGAACGTTTAATATTATATTTCCGTTGGGAACTAATTTGTGGGCATACATCATACAGTTCAATAATAACGTAACTAGCTTCTCCTTGTTATGATAATAGTCAATGAGTTCATGACCATTTATTCCATGGATTTGTTTTCGTGAGTGATCAGTTTTCAGTTTGAACAACCATGAATCATGCACTTTCGTGCGCCTGTTTGGGTTGCTGTCTTTTGGCTGCCCATTTGGATGAACAGTAGGAGAAAAACAAGAAAGTTGAAAGTAGAGTCGAATAGAAAATAAAAAAATTCAGTGGACTGATGTCGCAAAGAAATTGAGAAGATCCACGAACGCCACTGTTGACGACGCTCAGTCATATCACTCAGTCTCTAACCATCGGTTACGATGATCCCGAGTTCCCCATCCAGGGGTCCTAACGGGACCTATGTGACCCAGACTCCTAGTAAGGGTTCACATACTCTCATACCAGGTCTTAGCTTAATCACCCCTGACCTTTTTCCATCCGCTGTCTGCGTCGGCAAACATCGCTCGTCGTAATAACCTATTTGGTGGCATGCGTAACACATGCCCCAACCAACGTGATCTATGGAAGTCGACCACTTGCTACAGTAGGCTACCGCGGTTACCTAAAACTCTGCACCTAACCTCAGCATTGCTCATCTGGCTGCCCTTCCGGATCCGTGCAATGCTTCGTAGACAGCTGTGTTCAAACACCGACAGTCTATCTTTATCCTGTTTTCTTAATGACCAAGTTTCTGCACCATATAGCAGAATTAGCCGAACTGCCACGGCATACACTCGACTCTTTACAGACAGCCGGATGTCGCGACGGCGCCACAGATGTCTCAAGTTGGCAAATGCCAATCGAGCCTTCTTTATGCGAGCTGACACTTCATCCGTGATGCGTCCACCGGGTGAGATGTAGCCGCCAAAATAACAAAACTTATCCACCTTCTCTATTACTTCTCCAGTCAGTGTGAGGTTTAGGACTGGATCAACCCAATCTTGTA